TTAAAAAATGTGGTACATATACACGATGGAATACTACGCAGCCATAAAAAAGAACAAAATCATGAATTTCGCAGCAACCTGGATGGAACTAGAGTCTATAATACTGAGTGACCTCACACAGAAACAAAGATCAGAATATCACATGTTCTCACTCATATAATGGACCTTGAACATCCAGTGTAATACTATAAGAAAATGACTGACGGTACTAGGAAACTATGGGGGGGAGGGAGATGGGATTAACAGTAGCAAATATCTGTCTGGGGCTGGGAAAACACCTCTTATCAACAGGGTGTCTGAATGAAACGTAATTGTACACCTAACCCTTAACTGTACCCCACAAAACTATAATAAAAATACTGATTAATTATTAAAAAAAAAAAATAATAATCTCAAGTTTCATTAGCTCAACTGACTCACTATATTAACTTATGAATTCTCTTGCTTAAGCTTAACATTCCACAATACTCAGGAAGGGCAAGGTTATGTTGTAGTAAGAACTTAACTGGTAAATTTCAGTGACTTACTAAAAGGACTTAACTTCATAGTTATTCTAGGGACTCCATTTATGGAGTTTCAACATCTTATACACGTTACCTCAACAAATGCTTCCAGGTTTCTGGTAGCAGAGAAAGACATAGCAGACAGATCTTACACCCACCTGCAAGTTTCACTGGCTACTACTAGTCACATGACTCCAATCTAACAGTAGAAAAGACTGGGAAATGTACAGAAGCTTATGGAATATTAGTGAGCACAATTGTCTCCAAAAGACATACTGATATTATTTAAAGTAAAGCCAAATGCTCACAACTAGCAGATTGTTCTCCAGAATATTCATACACTTTCCTCCAAGTTCTGTGCTTACTAAAACTCAGTTCTTTTTTAAGAAAACTTATTTATGAAGATGTACTTGTTACCTTAATTAACTTATCAATTAAAGATACTACTCAATGAAAATCTGGGTGCAAAAAATAATTATTTCTATGAAACTGTCACGAAAGAAAGGAAAGAAGACATTGCCTCTCATACAAGAATCTTCTGGCTTATGTTCAGTGTGACAATATTGAACTGCAAAAATATCCTCAAATATAATCTATCACTCACCCCTATAATAGGGTGTATGCTTCCACTAGAAAAATCAGATCTCAATGTCGCCCTACGCTCTGAGGTTGGTTCAATTCTCAACCTTAACTTTTCCCTTTGCAGGGTCAAAAGTGAAGAGCTACAGACAGAGACTGAGGGCTCCCTGGACAACCCAGAATAAGCCTTCCCCATTTCCCCAAAAGCATCACTCCCTTTTGATCCCTATGGAAGTCCTTCCAATCCTGAGGATGATAGCAAAAATCAGCACAAAACTTCTGACTCCATTCAGCATCTTGCTCTAAGCAGATTCAGATTATAATCTTGGGAGCAGAATCCCGGATATGTGTCTGCTCATACACTCCACAGTGTCCCTGTCTCTGATAACCAGCATTACAGCCTGAAATACAGGAGATGAAGGCCCCAAGGAAACTTAGTTCTCCATTCTAAGCTCATCCAGGAGAAGAATATAGCCTCAGGGCTGGAACCACATCAAAGGAGCCACAGTTTATAGTGACCTCCCTAATAACTAAAAAGAGAATGTCAGCAGGAAACAACAAATCATGATGCTAGTAGACAAAGGGAGCTCTATCCTCAGAATTCCAGTTCTGCAGTGGCATCAGGTGATTTGGCATGAGACAAAGAATGGGATGAGTGAGTTGGCACCTCCAATGAGTGACCCTAGAATCAAAGAGAGCTCTGCTATTTGTCCTGCAGGGTCCACAAGAAACAAATTGCCCCTTACATCACTTTACTGTGAGGAGGCTCTGGAGGCTGAGGTGCTCCACGTGGCTGGGGTAAACTTCTGCACACTGGAAGTAATTTCTAGCATCACGAGGATCTGGAAAATCCAATCCTCATTCCTACTAAGAGGAATGGAAACAATGCTGGCTGTCAGCATCTCATGTATAGGATGGTGCTTTTGAGAGATGTGCATGTTACCCAGGCTAGGCCAATCAGAATCTTTCCTACCTTGTTAAAAACTCTGGTAGACATTTTAGAAACATACAAGAGAGGCAGAAACACATACACACAGAGATAAGATAAGATGAGAAGTGTTAAGAAACATGAAGAAAACAAAGAGATCCAAAAATAAACATAGAAATAGGAAGAATTGCAGATAGTGACAAAATAATAGAAAGAGAAATAAAGGTTACAATGCAGTGAAAAAAATACAATAAGAGGGACACAGACAAAAATGCAGAGAAACACACAGAAATAAATATATAGGGACAAATAGAGACACCAAGAAAGATAGAAAGATGCACAAATAAAAATATAACAGAAGAAGAAAAAAGAAATGAGGATCTCATTGAATGTCTGGAATTAGTCACCTCTAAAATCAATTAGACCCCAGGTTTCCTTATAACATGAACAAAATATGTTTGGGTTTGGTTTCTATAGTCTGAAGTCAAAAATAGTACTTTTTTTGCTAGTTATGCTTTCTCAAAAATAAAATTAATCTCAACTGATGTGACTTGCCAGAATATGTTTGAAACATATTCTGGGACAGGGGTCCCCAGATAATTCCACCATAGTTACTTATACAATACTCATCAAACTAAAAGAGAGGCTAGGATATATTAAGACCATGGCACTGAACATCAATATTAAGGAAACATGAAGAATGTGAGAATTGAATTGATTTTTTACCTCCTTTGCCCACCTCATTTGGCAACCCAACATTATTTTAGTCTCCTTTCAAGGAACAACCCCCTTTCTGATCACAGGTTGGCTAGGTAGTCTCAAAGTATGTTCCTTTCATTCCATGTTGTTTTCCTGCCTGTACTCAGGGTAGTTACGAATACAGATAACTCAGAATAATGTTTAATGATGTAAACAAAGCTCTATAGACAGATAAATGATCCCAATGTGCTTCTTTTGAGCAGTCTGTGAGGGGAAAATTGTAGACCCTGCTGGCAGTGCACAGGTAGAGACTCTGAGGTCAGTTCAGGAAGCAGAGTCACAGCCAGCTCCTTGGGGTAGTCACAGAAGGTGAACCAGTGGCTGCATCAGAGCCACTGTAGGACTCTGACGTCAACAGGGGACAGGCTGACATAGGCGACTGGGAATCTGGGCAAAGATAGGCAGGCATTACAGGAAAATGATAACAAAGCCCAGTCAAAAGTCCTCGGGAGTCAGTGCAGGAGCCCTGTAGAAGAGAGAAAGAGATGAGGTACAGGGTACCCTGAGGGACATGCCCCCCACCCCTCAGGTCCCCTTGCAGCATCAGACAGAGAAACCTGAGCTCTAGGGCATATCATCATCACCTTTCCCAGTATCTGTGTAAAGGCAAAATCAGCCAATGAAGACATACAACTTCAGTCTGATGCAGATGTGTGGGAAGTAGGGAAACAGCTGTAACCCTTTTGGAGAATATGAAAGGTTCGATCTTTTTAATAAATCAGATGTTTATCTCCACCAGTAGCAGCCTCTTTTAGTCACTGAAAAATGCCTATAGGAAGTAGCCACCAATATATGGCATAAAGTGGGCATCACCCTAGTATCTAGCATTCAAAGTGTGGCTCTGGTTCCACATTTCACAAAAAGATGCCACCAAAGTTATGGCCTGGTTCTGGGGAACAAGCCCTGGAGGAGATTCCTACAGAAACTTGCAAACTTCTCCCCTAACTCTTGATCTTCACAGCAGCAAACAGACCATAAACAGAGACTGTTGTGCCCTGGTACACGCACCACAGGCCCTCTCTCTTATACCTGACCCCCTGACACCACTGGATCAGGGCTGAAATATTACCTGCTGGTGCAGTCCCTCGAGGTCCTACAAAAGGAAGTTAGAGAAAGATCTCATTACACAAACAGCTACCATCTCCCTCACTCCAAAGGGAAATGACACATGCAGCTTAACTGGAGAGTTATATTCTCTCCCCACTCATGTTCTTTAAGGCCTTAAGTACTCTAAGCTAAAATGCCCCCAAAATGAAAGAAACTGTCATTAGAAAAAAAGGAAGCCAAGACCCTAACCTTCTTAGTGGAGGAAATTTTTGGCAAGGAGCCAATGAGATAATGCTGAATAATAAGAAAGCCCTGGAATAAACATCATTAGTCAGCTCTGTAGCAGGGCTACTTTTCAACCAGTAAAATCAGATTCCATTGTCTTCCTCTAGCTTGTCCCATCTCCCCACATCACCAGCCCAGCCTCCTTCCTTTCAGAGTCAGGAGAAAAGAGCTACATCTAGAGACAGAGCCACTCTGAATAGAAGGCCTCAGGCACAAGCCACTTTCCCCATGTCTCCCTGGAGCTCCTCACCTTTCTGACTCCTGTGACGGATGACAAGGCCCAACCCGAGGAAGATTAGCCCCAGCATGAGACCCCCGATACCACTTAGCATCTTGCTCTGGGCAGATTCAGACTGGGCTCCTGAGAAGCAAAGCCTGAGTGTCAGTGTCTATCCCTACCCCCCACAGTGGCCCTGCTGAAGACCTGGAGTCCAGTCTGAGATGCAGGAGGTAGAGCTGTTAGGGGAACCTAGTTCACAATTATGGCCATCCCTAGGTGAGGGAAGGTCCATCCAATAGGTCCTTGGACACAGTGGATGGGTGAAGGAGGAGAGAAGCAGATCCCTGCTCTTCAAAAACACATCCATAACCTTAGACTCTGAGACTCCAATCACCAGCCATAATAGTCAGCCTCTCAGAACTGTAAGGGCTGGGTTCCAGGGTCATCATGTATAGAATAATCTCTCTAGTAATTGGAAATACTATAAGATCAAGATTCTTCTGATGCCCCTGCCATAGGGCAAGAGGTGATCTACTCTCCTGTGATTCTCAGCTCAGTAGTGACACTGGGTACAAGAGTTGGGATAGGGCAGGCCAGAGGGAGTTCTGCCCTTTGTTTCGTGGGGCCCATGATAAAAGGAAACCAATTTCCCCTTACGCCACTCCACAGTGATGGGACTTTGGAGACTGGGGTGCTCCACATGGCAGGTGTAGACATCTCCTCGCTGGGGAGTCATTTCCAGCATCACCAGGATCTGGGAGGTCCAGTCCCCATTTCTAATAAGGGGGGTAGACACAATGCCAGTTGTCTCCTCCTGGTCATTTCGGAACCACCGGACTTTGATCTGGCCTGGATAGAAATCTGTCACTGAGCAGACCAGTAGGTTGTGGTGATTCAGAACCTCTGTCCTAGATGGGGAGATGGTCACTGTAGGCTTGACTGTGGGGATTAACAGACAGAAAAAGACAGAGGTGTGAGACATGAAACCACACAGCAAGTCTCCCCTGGAGAAGAGTCCCTCATGGGCACCAAAGTGGAAAGATCCCTGGAGTCCAAGTCTTGGATTAAGGTTCATTCACAAAATACAAATTTGACAATTACTGAGAATCTAAAGACAAAACAATAGATCTACATTCCTACCTTGTAGAACTTGCAATCTAGTAACAGAACAATAAAAATGGATGTTGTTTCAAAATCTGTTATACTTGAAGGAAAACTAAAGGAGCCTTAAAAACAAGTTACACTGATAAAACATCATGTTTGCTCATGTCTCAATTCCTTTATCTTCTTAGATTGCTGCTCATGGTCAAATATTACACACCTTTCCCTGCCTATTTTATATATCTTAACTTTACCTTTCAAGCTATTTCATTACATTTCCCTTATTTCCTTATTGTGAAACTATAGTGAATATTTAATGTATGTTTTATTTACTTGGTAATATGCTCTCTCATTTTCTTTTAACACTCAAGTGAGTTTAATTACTAGCTATACCCTACTCCATCCTCTTCTTGTTAAGAATCATTTCCTTGTTCTGAAATCAGACATTATTGTGTATGTTCTCTATAAAAAATATTCTGAAGTCCATGCAGAGGCTGGCCTGGGTTAATGAAACTGCAGTGTAAACATTTAAATATAACTGGGATCTGCTGAGTTCATCAGGCGGCACCCCAACTAAATGGCACCCATGAGCCATCATCTGGAAGGAATCACATTTTCAGCTTGGACTTTAATTCATTCAAGTTCTTCTTCCTGGAGTCTGATTGAAATCATAGCCAGCTACATGGAATTATAAAATCTGTTCATCTTAAACAGATTGGGAGTAAAAATGGAGGGCACAAATTCCTAAGAAAAATGATATAATATTTTTCATGAAATAGCAAAAATATAAGTACTTGATGGCATTAAGTGTTGTGGGTGAAAAGAAGGCAAAAGGGTATAAAGTAAACTAAAAGTTTTGTAAACATGTACAGATAACACCAGAATCAGACTGAGGATTGATTAATTCATGGATTTTCAATGCCTCGAAAGTATCATTCTGTCCCACTAACATTGAAAACGGGCAAGAACAGATGCATGTTGCTGCTTCTGATCAAAACTGGCTTTAACAAGGCCTGACTTCCATTAGACTCGATATACATGTAGTAAGGAATATCATGAATATTGTGTATTTTGAGGGGACTTCAGGTCTTGGTAAGTAATTGTGCGCTAATTACTTACGATGTTTATCATGTACCAATATTAGGATATATAAAGTAGTGATGCTCATCTCCAGCACACAGTTAGCTGTGAGAGTCAATGACATAATATAGATGTGTTTGGTAAGGTAACGGTCTAGAAGTAAGTGCTCACTAAATGAGTAAAACTGAGTTTCGAACTGTCTACCCCTGAAGTGATGCTGGAGGTGAGGGATCTGGGCCAGAACAACCTGAAACTATTTTTATTCAATAATGTAACAGCTTCAATGTATTCATTCCAAAGCTCCTGCTCTTTCCATTATGCCATTTCCATTATGCTAATAATTTTAAACGCTGCCTTACAATAACATTCATTTGTTTTTACTTTTAGAAAACACTTTTTCCCTCAGACTTTGCATTCCCAAACTCTAAATTATTAATATCCAAGTCACTAAGAGTTTACTTTAAAGCATGAAGCAAAATAACAGAAAATAATAAAGTCCCTTCTAAGGCTCTCTTTTCCCTCCTGTTTCTCTTGAGCCTGCGTGGTGGGGCAGCCGAGTGCATGTATTCAGTAGTTTGACAGGATCCTCGCGCTCTCACCACATGCCCGTCAATGTGTCAGGTTCCTGGCGTACAGTAACAAGGAAGGCTCTCGCCTCAAAGAGCTCGGCCACGAGCGACAGATGGGAGCGGGGCCGGCGACAAGGGAGGAGGGAGGGCGCGGGCAGAGAGGCCGGCTCGGGCAGAGGCAAGGCACCCGCGGGCCGCGAACGAGCGGAAAGAGGAGCAGAGGA